ATGTGGTATGTAGACTGATACCTGTATTAGATATTAGATGTCATATATACAAATAGGAAGTTTTCCTTTTTAGAAAGAGATATAAAATATTCTTAAAGCATTTGGCTAAACACCTGGAATAGATAAAAATAAGAAAAAAGTTTAATCATGTTCAATTGTTTGTAGGTCCATCCTCCTACACTTCTCTTGGCCAGAACACATCCCTGGAGCAACTCATTGTTGTTATTTCATGGTGGATTTTTAAAAGTAGTTTTCAAATACTTTTGAGTTTTTGTTATTATTTTGTCTTGCTTTTGTAGCACAAGTGATCAAACAGTGCCTTGTCCATTCTAAATACATGCTCTAATACTGAGCTACACCCCCAGCCTCAGTTTACAATTTTATAAACTTTCATGAACAATTTTAGGTGGTCTCACTTTCGCTGTGATTCAGGTTACAAATCTGCAAATTATAGTGGCCCATTAGTTCCCCAGAACAGCACTAACCCTAACCAACATCACATCTGCAGACACAGATACATGTATCTTGGTAGAGTATGATAATTTGTTCTCAAGACAATGAAGTTTCTGATAATCCCTGAATTTGGGTTATTGATGATATGTAAAATCATTACTGAGAAAATAGGTTTGGAATAATTGTAACTGTTGATGAAATCTTTTGAAAAAACGATTATTTTTAGCCAGGCCTGGTGGCGCATGCCTTTAATCCCAGCACTCGGGAGGCTGAGGCAGAAGGATTGCTGTGAGTTCAAGACCAGCCTGGGCTACACAGTAAGTTCCAGGTCAGTCTCAACGACATAGTGAGACCCTGTTTAAAAAAAAAACAAAAAACAAAAAACAAAACAAAAAAAACTATTATTTTTACATTACCCAACATAACATGACATTAAATGACCTTGTACATATCTTAAATTAGTAATGTTGGATACATTTTAACTTATAATTCACATGCCCTTCCTTGTTACTAGAAACATTTTAAGATCTTTTTCACAACTTCAATGATATAAGTATAAATTTGTTCTCCTGCAAATATAATTTATATATATCAGAAAGTTTTTTTTCCTGACTGGTTTCTTTTACAAATGTCAAATTCTTTCGAATTTTATTATCTGGATATGGTAACTTCTCACTTCCTAGTACTACTGTCATCCAAAGATACAGAACCACTTGAATGTCTGAGATGCTTTGGCAAACTTACTTGATCTATTTGGTACAGCTAAGTGTTTTTCCAAACTTCCTCCCATAATACCAGGTTATACAATCTTATCTTTGGCCATAAAAACTTTGTACAAAACACTTCTCATCACCCTTTGTAGGTTTTGTGGTTTACATCTAGATGTCCCCTCTAAAGCCTCAGGTGCTCATAGGTGGGACTTTTAGGACATGCTTGGGTCATGGGAGTGTAGTCTGCTTCCCCTTTGATCACTCTGCTTCTTGCCCACCTTGCCATGAGCAATTTTCCTCTTTGTTTCTCCACGTCACTTTTTGTTTCTCTATGCCACACTGCTTTACAGGGACTGAAATCTCTAACTGCGAGCCAAATTAACCTTTCTTCCTTTAAGTTGTGGATGATGGGTATTGTGTCTCAGCAGTGAGAAAGTAACTAGGACAGCCGGCAAGCCACAGGTCTAAGTGCTCTACCTACTAACAGACAGATGGCTTAATTATCTTAAAGTACTAAATATTCCTTCCTTAAGTCTGAGAATCCCATAAAGGGCATTTCTGCAAAATGTTCAAAGATTCTGTTAACAGTGCAGAACTACAAGCCAACTAATAGCAATTTACTGTAGAACAAAGTTCTCATGTTATTTTTCTTGTTTATTTTTTTGTTGAGTATATCTACGTTGTATACTTTATAATTCAATATATTCAGATTAAATGATTACAATTAACCCTGGTAAATTTAAATGTCAACTTCTAAGGTAAGGGAATAGAAGGAAACAAAAATTAGGGCTGCACTCTTAAATGTAACACCTTTTAGGGGCTGGGGATATACTATAATGGTAGTGTACATGCCTAGCATGCCCAAGCCCTGGGTTCAATACTCAGTACTGCAAAAAATATATATATTAAATACTGCAAAAGATAAAATTTTTGCAAAAGATAAATATATTCAAAATACATATTTATAAAGTTTATATTTATATACATATATATATTTATAATTCATATTTAAGAACACAGACCAAAAGCAAGACTGCCTGAGTTTGAACTTGGCTACATCCCTCATTAAATGTGACTATGGGTACATGTTTTACCTTTTCTTCACCTCAGTTTCCTCATCTATAAAGTGAAGGATGGTTTTCCTTTTGCAGTGTTGTTACAAGGATGTTTCAAAAAGCACTTAAATCAGTGCCTAGCAAGAGTAACCACAACATAAATGTCAGTTACTATTACTTCAAATTCTAATAATGAATAGATCAAGGCCCCAAGGAAGATGCTAGTTTTCAGAAGTATGAGGTGTTTTTAATGTTTATGATTTTTCAAGAATCAAAAATGTGGTTTGGATTACTCCAAGAAAGTGATTGAGTTTTTCAGAAAGAAACCATTTTGTGTGATCAAGTAGAGTGTGAAATTTACTAATAGATGTCTGCCTGCCATAAAAAAAACTATTAAAGAAAATCCTGAGCATGATGTTCAACTCAGCTCTGAAACATGTGCTTTACATTATTGTCTTATCAGTTCTTCAGTTCCTGGCACATGTCACTGAAGCAGACAGACCTTTGTTATTGCTTTTGACTTAGATAAACAATCTTCTAACTATTGGAGAAACATTTTGTAGACTTTATTTGTGATTGTTATTTAAGCAATAGCTGCGAAGATTGTCAAGAATATATTTAACACAGTGCTTTTCAAAAAAGAAAGGATAACTCCTTTGAAAGCAGTAATGAAAATAATAGAATCCCACATACAAGAAGAGAAAGGTCTGTAAGCTCATGGACAGCATTCATTTTCCACGACAGAGAAGTCTGTTGTAGCAGCTAACCAGTTTTGTTTGCTTCATTCTGTTGAGTACACTTGAGTTTCCAAAAGTGGAGGCAAACTGCACCAGGAGTTGCCCCAGCAAATTACTTTACCGACCAGGAAAGAATATGGCACTTCTGTCTTTCTACATTAATAGCCAATTCAAAGCCATCTAATTGGCTTTTTTTTTCCTTTGGTTTTTTGAGACAAGGTCTCACTATGTAGTTGAGACTGACCTGGAACTCACTATATAGCCCAGGCTGGTCTCAACTCACAGCGATCCTCCTGCCTCAGCCTCCAAAGTGCCGGGATTACAGGTGTGCACCACCATGCCCGACTAATTGACTTTCATTTAAAATATGACTGACTTGAATGGTCTAAATGTCTATTACATACCTAATTCATGTACCACTTTAATATCTAGGAACAAAAAGTTTACCTTACAAGGATGACTTATGTTTTATTTTATTGTCTATACACAAGTTATGGTAGTTTTAGCCTATGTGGAGATTAATAAAACATACAAAAATAAAGTGCATATCTGCATTTTGAACTGAGAGAACGTTTCAGAGGATTACAGCATTAGTTACAAGTTAGAACTTCAGAATTTGAGAAGCAATACCATCTGGATGAGCAAATACAGGCTTAAGAGTCAGAATGATGAGTTTTGAGCCCTACCTTGTATATTTCCTTCTCATCTAAAATTACACAAATTATTTAATCCTTATAACATTTTCATCTATAAAATAGGAACAATATCAATTTGAAACCTTGCAAGAATTCATATACTATATGCAAGTTAGATGTATATGTAAAAAGAGTAGTAGGCAGTAGTAGGCAGGCAGAAAAAATTTTGTCTCTTCAAATTTTATGATGTATTCTCTTCCTTCTGGGAGGGTGAGGGATGGGTTGGGGACAACTCAAACACTAAATTTCCAGATAGGTCAAAATTTTCAGAAAAAAAAATTTTTCATGTGTAAAATGATCACCAAGAAACTACTTCAAGGCAGTGAAGGTGGGGGTAACCCTCAACCAGTGTAGTCATCTTGGTTATTCTATAGTAACTAAACCTCTACAAAATTTGGATTAACAAAAGTAATTGTAATGAAAACATCATTTGAAGAGACAGAAAAGAGATTCAAGGGCCTGAAAACTTTTCCCCATTCTATGGATAAAAATTCCTTCATAAAGCATATGTGTACTCAGGTGACTAAAAAGTCATGCATTCGAATCCATTACTTGCTTCCCCCAGGGAAGCCTTCACTATGATCTGGGAACAGAGGTTTGAGCCAGATTAATCCTAGACACCAAACTGTAAGGACGATCTAAGAAAAATCTGCCACCAAAGGATGATCTAAGAGGAGATGGGGAAGCAGGAACAGACTGTAGGAACCGAGGGCTTCCCTGGGGGGACTCTGCGGCAGCGCTCCCACAGCCACCCTCCGCCCTCTTGGGAGTCTTCATTGCACAGGAAAGAGCCGCCCTCCGGCTCTGCCCAGCGGTCTCCTTCCAGGACCGGCTCCCGCTGGCTCGGACAGCGCGTATCCGCGTGGAAAATGCTGCGAGGGCCTTCTAAGAGCCCGGGAGCAAGCCCACAGCGCAACCACCATCCCGCGCTCCTCGCGGCGCTAGCCGTGATCTACTCTGGCTCTGAGAAAACTCAGATCCAGCCACAAGGAGGGGAACGGAGGTCCAGGCTCAGCTCGCTCAGACCCGGGCCGGCTGAGGAAAACCTCAGGACGCTTTTTTGTCAGCTTCCTCTCCCCCAGACCGATTTGTTTCGGTCAGTCTACCCACAAAAAATAATGGCAGAGTCGAAAGCCAGTTTTTAAAACACAGCATTCAGCCAGTCGTGGTGACACGTGCCTTGTAGCACCAGCTACTCCCGAGGCTGAGGCGAGAAGATTGCTTGAGCCCAGGAGTTGGAGCCCGGTCTGGGCAATATAGCGATACACATCGCGTACCGGTGTCAAAACAAAACAGCACACCCACAGCACCTGAGAATTCCGGAGAGTTTAGTGCCGCAGACTCACTCACCTGTCAACATGGGGGGTGGGGGCGTAAAGCAGCCCGGGGTGGGGGGAATGACCCGATGCGCAGTCGCATGTTGTCTCACAAGTGCCCGTCCGCCACGCCCTTCAGTGTGACATCACTAGCCCCGCCCACCGTCCGGTCCTGCCCACCAACTCTCGCTTCTTCCGGCGCCACCACGCCTTAGCCTGCGCTGCGCCTCCCGGCCGGGG